AAGAGGCCCTGCTCTTAATTAGGTCCTATTTAAATCTTAATTAATCCTGTTTAGCAGATTTAAGAGAAGGAGAGAACAGTGGTGATCTTCACTCTTGAGGAAAAACAAGGCATCACATAATTTATTTAGACTCTCTTGAATATCTGCCAGAATCTTACCATCCTCTGCAGCATAATAATTTTGGGTCCTAGATTCCTGCTAACTGTGAAAATATGGATCAGCCTCAGAGTAAAAACTATGTAGTCCAAACAGAAAATGACTCTCCCAGAATACCAAGAGCTTTCATCAGATGAGTGAAGCCTGATGGAGACAGTAAAAGAAAATGAAGAGAAGTGTTGGGTGAAGCATGCAGAAGTCAGGTAAAAATACAATGAAACACTGAAATGCAGAGTGGCAAGTGAGTAACTGGAAAACAGAGCACAGCTATCCTGGGCCCCATGCCCTCTCCCACCCACTCCCATCTGATGACAGGTGATAGAACTGGTTAATGCACACCTTGTTTACACCCTTCCTATCTTAGCTACATCATCGCTGTGTCTCCTCTTCCTCTCTAAAACTGTTAAGAGCAAGGAAATTTTGTACCTTTAGCTATTCCCACAGCCCTCCAAAAACATCAGTGCAATGACCGCTCTGCTGCACTGAGGCAACAAGAACTAAGTTACAGTTGACTGAACAATTACACTGTAAAATGTGTTTCCATCATTTCTTTGTCATGGTTGTTAACTCACCCATTCCTGTAAAACAGCTTATGTGAGCTAATGACATTCTGTTAGACTATTGTAGGTACAATTACGGCCCCCTTAAATACAACACACTAAACCTCAAAGAGTCCAGATTACCATACTAAATAGTCAAAAACAGGAGCCAGGGAAAATCCCAAAGAACTTCTGACTCTCTGAGATATTGGCCATCTTACCCTGCAACTTTGTCTGATATGCTCTATACAGCCAGTCTTGAAGGCATTGTCATGAAACCTAAGCCCATTTCAAACACCATCTTCTAAACATGCTCGTACTAACCTAAGCATTAAGAAGGGCTGCCCTGCTGGCCCAAAAAGATCTGAGTTTGGGAAAGCCACCTTTGATTTCAGGGATAGACTCAACTTCCATTAAACAAAAAAGAGAAAATATTGCATGCAGATGTTCCCCCAATCACTTTATTTTATTTCTTTATTTGCTTTTAAAGATTTAGTGGAAGTATTGGGGCCTTCATAAAGAACAGGGAGTTTCATGAACACGTCATTTCCCAAAATCTCATTACACATTGTAGTAAAAACCCAGAAAGGAAGCAAAGCCATAACATGGCCACAAGAAAAGATACTACTCACCTGAACACAATCCCTGCTATGAAGTAGAAGATTGCTAGTGTATCCATAACATTCCACAGATCTGAGAAATACTTACTGCCATTCATGTACCACTGGAAAAGAAAAAGAGCAGAACGTAACCACCACACATGCTTTTGATCAAAGATGCAGATTTAATCTATTATTTTAATTACCTGGCTCTCTATTTCCGCATTGTAAATCTAGCGAGAATCTCTGCCCATTCCCAGACTGACTGGTCCTGCACCCTGGATCCAGGGTTTGCGCAAGAACCAACTTATGGATACAAGTCAGAGGTGACTCATTAGGAAAAGTAACTTAACGAGGAGAAACCTCCACCAGGCCTGAAGAAATAGACCAAGACCCTGATCATGATTCTTTTTAATTTTCATTGAAATAACCAAAGCTTAGTAGAGTAGTGATCAGTGAATCTCTCTATAACTGTCATATCCAAGGAAGGCAGTTCTGCTCTCAGTACTTATATGGGAAACAGAGTACTTATATAGGAAACAGAATTTTCTTCTAAACACAGAAGGATCTATGAGTAGAGAGCCCCACTTTGCTATTCCAGTTGCACAATTATTGCATTTTCTTCACATAATAGGATGCGTCACATGACGGACAGGTATGGCAGCTACCAAGGTGTCAGGCTCAAGATATTACCAGACACTATTTCAGCATCCTGGGACACACACACACCTTTCTTACTACTTCAGGTACCAAAGATTGAGCACTGAGTGGGGACAGCATGTTTTGACACCCATGACATTGGGTTGTTTCTGTCTAGTAACTCCCTAAATCAAACATAAGTTGTCTTGCTATACATGACAGTGAATTGGTGTTTCATATGAACAACTAGATGCATAGAGTCCAAAATGTCTTTCACAAAGCAATAAGCATATCACTGCACTACAGCTGTATTAAATGCAGCAGGTTTAAGCCTGATGCCTCTTCTATTAAGGGCACAATTGTGGATGGAGGAAAGGAAACAGGTTTTGGCCTAAAGCAGAAAGGGAGAAAACAGAGGCAGATGCATGCAAACAAGTGAGAACAACAGATATTGCAGTGCAGTTCAGTCCTTCAAATATCAAGTAGTTTCCCCGGCAAAGAGTTAACGTGCATGGAGGTTCTGTCCAGATTCCTTCTCTCAGAAGAGGGGGTTTTGCTGCACACCCCATGCGTCTACCCACTCACCTGGCTGGAGGCTACATCCACGTGGCTAAGAAGATAGCAGGAAAAAGGCATCTCCGATTTCACTATTGCCATGACGGCTCTAAATGGGATATCAGAAGGTAGCTCCGGCTAGTTAAAAATCTCTAGGACCATCAGAAGTGAAAACAGGCCTGAGCCAGCAGCTTATGGTTCAGATACAGTCCAGTTCTCCTGAACGGTGAAACAATCTGCTTTAAATTTGGAACAATTTCTACTAGCTGTCGTCTCCACAGACACACCACTCTCTAATCAGAGGGCTGATTTCTCCCCAAAACTAGTTATCTGACTGCAGCAGCTACAGTGGGACCCCAGGCAACGTTACTCTTACTTTTCCTTTGATGTGAAAACAAAATCTGAGACATCCCTCTTTTTTTTAAATATTAAGGACACGGATACTATTTTGACTGCAGAGTTAGACCAATGCATGCCCAGTCTATCTTGGAGGAAGCCAGGGAGAAAGTTTCCTGAGAAGCTTAGAGGACTGGGACACTGCTCTGCGTTCTGCTCCTTGGCAAAACAGGTTTGAAGCCAGGACACTGGCTTAAGATAACTTTAAATCTTTACTAAAGTCTCTGTTTTAGCTGCCTCCACTCCCACAATCAAACTGGTACAGTCTGGCCACCAGCTATTAATGGGATTACTGGGATCTGATGCAGTTCTACCTGCTCAGGGTAGTGAGAAATAGTGACATTGGTAGGAAAAAAAGGTTTCTATCCCTACGGCTTTCCCCAGGACTTTTGCTGGGTACACACAGGAAGTGCAAGGACAGGTCCAGAGACACCAGAACCTAAATCAGCAGAAACAAACACTCCATTAGTGTTTTCATTGCAACACAGTCTTTTACTTTTCCCCCATTTTCCTTAGCAAGTAAAGTTGCCTTAAAGAGGGTACCACCTTGAATATGAGAAAGGAAAAAGACCACACAGCAAGTTAAGCACAGTAACATCAATGCTCAGCCATGTCGTTTGAGTTCATGTAAAAATTGTTGTTGTAGGGTGGTCTGATCCAGCAGATCACCCACAAACACTCATGTGAAGACTAACGCCTTACAGAGCAATCAGAAAGCAGCACTGCACTGAAACCATGATTTCCCCAGCATCTTCCCACTATTCTGAACACTGACTGGTAGAGACCAGTTTGCCTGAAAATCAACATATTTCATATGTCCCCCTACATATGAAGTGAGAAGAATATCAACTATGCAGCTGGCTATAAAGGCAGTCCCACACACTCTTCCCAAACCACAACAGCACAAGCAATGCAGGCAGTCCAAAGCTGGTCCTTGGGACTACATGAAACTAGCAAAAATTGTGTTTATGATTAAAAGATAAACAGAAATATATAATGACATGTTGCACATTGGTAAAAAAAAAAAAAAAAACCAAACAAACACACAAAAACCGAGGGTGGGATGTGGAGAAGAGAGGCAGGAATCACTTGATCTAGAGGTATGTATCCAGATGAATGTGTTAAATCTAACCTCCTATTCTCAACTGCTTTGGCAATCCAAGCCAAGCATTCCTGAGAAATATCTCCACTGGCGTCAGCTTATGCACACAACCTCAAAGTCAATAGACATTCCTGTTGGTGCATGGATACTGCAGCTATTGGGGTATAAGAAGGAATTAAACATTAGGGGGGGGGGGGAATTTTAAAATATCCATTGTACCTTGAGTTGCCTGAACATATCTAGCAAGATGTGCTTCTCCTGTAACTTAGAAGCAGCTTGCACTGCCTTACATTACTAGGAGGGGAAAAACCACAAGGCTTTTAATCTAGCACTACACATTTTTGGTTTGCAAGCGCTGCCTACTTGTCTCACTTCATCACAAAGCAGAATGAAGACCAGCACGTAAAGGATCATCTCCAGGACAGTAGGTTCCTTCTGGAAATCCATAAGCAACACGTAGGCGAAGAGCAACAGGAAAGCGATGTAGAAGATGACATTCCAGGAGAAGACCACAAAGGGGGAGGTGAAGAAAGACACATAATACAAGAAGAGTTTCTTACTCTTCTCCACAGGCTTTTTCCTGAGGAATTAAGAGAGGGAAAAGGTCTCAAAGCATAGCTTTTATGCCTGGAAACATTTGTGCTACATGTCAAAGTGAAAATTAGAAAGGTGCAAAGTCTAGCACAGGACATGAAAGGTAATGCCTTTCTGCATCCACTGTGACTTCAGGCACACAGGTAAGTTGGCACATCTTAACTCCAGATCAGAGTGAGGACAGGATCTGTCAAAAGCTCATTCAGCCATTAAATATCTTTATTTGAGAGTGATTGAACACTGGAACAGGTTCCCAGAGTGGCTGTGGAGCCTCCATCCTTGGAGATACTCAAAATCCAACTGGACGGTCCTGGGCAACCTGCTCTAGTTGACACTGGTTTGAGAGCAGGGGGTTGGACTGGGTGATCTCCAGAGGTCCCTTCCAGCCTGAATTGCCCTATGATTCTATGATTAGTTGACTTGCTATGCTTCTCTTAATAAGGTGGCAGCTGATTACCTGAATGAGATGAAACCACAGCCTATTAAAGGGAAAAAGAACAGACATAGTATAATCTTCCAATTCTTCGTATCTCTTGAAATCTCTCCATACCACTGCTTGGAAAGGAAATTCTGCAGGGAAGAACAACATATCCTCATTTGTTCTAGCAGCAACAAAATAACCTAGGAATGCTATTAGAGAACATTTGATTTAGAGAAAAAAAAACAAAACAACTTTGAGATTTCAATCAAAATAACTGGGATTCCTGTTTCAACAATACAGAAAGCTTCTGCATCAGTAACAGTGTGTTGGTTCCTTAGTCCAGCCATCCTCCACTCTACATGACAAGGAGTTCAAAGTGAGGCTGAGCAGGACTTGACCTGATTTATAAGGCACTTTACGCTGGGCAGTACATCCACACTGTGCATACATAGGAGTTGTGCCAAGGGAGAAGTCACTTCAGGCAGTCTTTATCATCTAGCTCATTATGATTTACAGCTCTAAATCAAGTCTTCCCCTCCTGACTTAGCATTTGTGGGCAAATCAGCCACCTCCTATTTCAAGAAGAGGAGCCACACACCCTGTCCCCACCAGCCACAGTCAACGCTCTCTGGGATGCATTTCACAGCACTGCAGATGCTGGTTCTGTGAGCATGCTGCAGGACATGACTATGCTGCCACCATGCAAAGCTCAGTGTTCACAGGGCTGGGAAACCTGGCCTGCAGACTCTCACTTCCACAAGGACAGTGTCTCAGCATTGGCCTTTCACAGACTGTTCACATGGATGTAGCATTTTCACAGCAAGAATATTCACTTTTCTTTAAGCTACCCAGATCACAAGAGTTACAGTAATCTGTGCACCTTCTTTTCACTGACATTACCTGCACCCCTGGCTGTGCAATGAACTGCTGATCTTTAGCTTCCACTGCTAGTTCCAGACAATTGCTCCCTCCCCAGGCTTCACAGGAATAGGTCAGCAGCTGCTCAGCTAGATCTTCATCATTGCTGTAGCACTCAGTGAACAGCTCTGGAGGAAAGAGGCAGTCCCACACTGAGCTCCAACTTCAGACTCATTTTCCCACCAACTTGGATGTATTTGTCTTCAGTGACTTCCAAATTATAACACTTTTAATATTAAAGCATGCAGATACAAGAAGTCTTTCAACATTTGCAGCATGGTAAAACAACGTGTGCAATGCTTTACAACCCCATTTGCATGCAATAAGCTTTCACACAGAATTCATGCCCAGATGGAAAACTGTAATACTAAATCCACTCACACAGAGATAGCATTAAGTTGAGTTCTGCACTAAAAAATTGAGTAAAAACTATGAACTTCTACTCAAATGACTCAATGTATCTGCTTGTTTCGTCTTATTTTCATTCATTTAGCACTGATCTAATGAGTTATAGTCAGTCTCAGTAGTCCTATATCAACAGTAGGGTTGAACAAGGGCAGAATCTGATGCTTTTTCACTGGGAAACACATTGCAAACATAGGTGTTTTAGAAGAGTCAAGAGCACCTTATTCTGCCCATAGATTTTTGCCACTAACAATGCACGTAGAGTGAAAAATTATTTCTCTTTCTAGCTCTGGACATTTCACACTCGAAGGCAGTTCTGTTGGTGTATCTGTGACAGAACACAACTGCCCTCAAGAACAATCCAGCCGCTTAAAAAACACCAGCCTTCACTAGATTCACTTCTCTACAACAGTGCATATTCCCAGGCATTTCACAAACAGCTGTGTCACCATGACTGTGAGGATGCACAAATAAAGTGATACTTTCGGCTGGTATTACTACATACACTGCAATATGCAGATAGATCTTGATAGACAGACTCCAATGAGACCTGTTCACTTCTAAATGTCTTGCCAAATAATCAGGCCTGAGGGATGCAGATACCTTTAAGAAAGTTTATTTAAGCAGTTTTCGCCTTGTGAAATAGGAGATACTTTCTAGTAACAAGCAAGATATTTTCAGCATGGCCTTGTGCCACTCCTTAGTGGATAGTGAAATAGCTGTGTAGTCAGTCTGATATACACACATATAATAATAAAGCTAGAAGTTGAACAGGTCAATCTAGTCTCCATGAGCCCCAGAAAAGGAACAAACATGGTTTGCTTTTAGGAGGAATAAAACAATATCCATCTGTGGAGACTTTCAAGATTTGTCTAAATGAAGCCATGACTGAACAGATTTAGTCCTGGTGGTAACACCACCTCAATAAGAAGATTGGAGTAGAGGCCTCCAGAAGCCCTTTCCAGCAACATTTCTATGATTTCCCAATTCAACCTCCAGGGCTATTGCACTTTAGCTGTCATCTAATCTGACTTCTGGTGATGACAGCAGATTGCTGGGTATTGATGCAGTTACAGATCACTGTTTTCTGCACCAGGCAAGAGAACAAGGCTATAACCTGCAATAAAGCCCCAGAGGCAACACTGTAATGTATTTCCTTCCAAGTTGAGGAACCAAGGTCCTGCTCCACAGGGTGCACCACAGGTAAGCTTGAATCTGTAAGTTGTGGGTGCTACAAATTAATCCCTGCCCTGCTATCTGCCAGTTGTGCTGGCTTTCATTTGCACGTTTCTCTGAATAATTTGCAGGATAACTAGACACTGAGGAAACACCAGCGTTATTGCTCAGGAAATGGAAGTCTTAAACAAAAAATCATTCCTCTGCTCTCCTGTCACCCATGACCCTCATTAAATAAGAAACTATCGGTCACTTCAGCCCACGAGACGCGGGGCTCAATCCTGAATTATTGACAGTCCTTGCAATAGGAGAAACTGAAGGTCATACAAAGGAAGAAAAATAACTGAGCTAGATCTGCATTCTCAATGAGTGGCAGTATTGCTTGTCATCTTAGAATAAGGAAGCTATATGATTTTGCACTTCAGAATTTAGGAATTCAATCCACTTTTTACCTGCAATTTATTCTCATGCCCCAAAAGTACTCCTGCAAATTTGAAGGGTGGATTTTCTCAACCTGAATATTACCAGCACTCATGCAGAAACCTTCCCTTATTCTATATTCTCCTTCCTTTTTCTGGGCACCCTTCTTCTTCAGCCTTGCCATCAGAGCCAGGTAGCTTTTCTTCCCAATGAAAGGAATTCTCTGCCCAAAAAAACCTCACAACACCCACTTTTGGAGGCAAGCTGTTCAGACAGGACACACAATTTCTACTGGGAACAGATGGTGTGGAAGAGATTTCCAAGTCGTAAAAACACATTTTGACATTAAAGGGAAGAATTTGATGTTGGATATCTAGTTTTCTAAATAAAGTTTTCTTTCTACTTCCTTTTGAGATGTCATTTCTCTTCTTTAAAATTCAGGCTGGATTTCTGGGCAGCATTTCAGGCAAACAGAATGAATTATCTTGCCTTGCATTTTGCTAAACAAACCCAGCAGGGTTATCAGTTTTGCTTTGCACAAAATAAAAACATCGCTATGCAATCATTGGTACACACCAGACCTGGAGATCATTAAAACAAATAATGTTCCAAGAACAGAAATGATTTCCAGATCTCTGACCCTTTCTATTAAATTTCTAAAGGACTTAAAGAAGATACTTACCTACTGCTCTTGTCTCATACTCATTAGCGAGTTCCTCAGACTCACCAGCAGCATTTATATCATTCTTCACCTTTGCCATGCTTTTCAGGAGCTTACTGGCCCCCAAGGCTGCCAAAGTGCAACCTCTGGTCTATGGAGAGAGAGTTAAGTCATGCAAAGCCCTCTGCAAAGGGAATGTGGTATATGCTTTAAAAATTATTCCCCTTTTTTTGCAGCTGCTCAGTTCCCAGTCAAGACTGGCAAATGAAGATCCAGTTCCACAAAACAAATGGTAACCATCAGTGTACTGGTTTGATAACAACTTTGTGACCAGTCTGAAAAGGTCTTGTGTTTAATAGTTATATATCAGCTTTGCATCTCTGGCTGAAGATTCACAAAAGAGGGTCTGCTCTGTCACAAGCTACACTACCATTTGCACTGTCCACCAGTCTGGACCAGTTGGGTGTACCCAGAACTGCCTAGACTACGTTAGTCCGTTCCATTCAAAACAGCTACACACGCAGGGAAGCAGCACTCTGTTTGAGACATGAAGACCAACATGAGCAGGAGCATCCATTAGCTTTGCTTGCATTAGCCTCACATTTACAGCCTGCAAATTATGTATTTGATACAATCATCACTAAATGTACTGTCTAATCAAAATTAGAATTGGGTTTCAATCAAATACCTGGGATCAGAACACATCCATATTGTGGAATGGGTGGGAACTCAGCATCCAAGCTTGAACATTGATGAGAACATACAACTACAGGTAAATGATAGCTTGGACTGCTGACTCACACATGACGTTAGGAAAGTACAAAATCCACACCCAAACACAAAATGGGTAATATTAAACCTACTTACAGAGTCATCTAGCAATTATCTCTTGTGGTTTTGTGTTTGAAGATGGATCCAGAGCCTTTAAAGGCCTACCAACCAAAGACAAGGAACATCACTGTACTGTTTGCAAGGAAGAATAATGGAGAATTCAACTTACTTGCTCCCAAATGACTTTAGACAACTCTTTCTTGTTCTGAAGAACTGACCAAATAAACAGAGCTTGCAGTGGGTGCCTTGTGATAGGACATTCATCCTGAAAGAAAGAAAGAGCAACAACTCCTCAGACCTAAGCTCACCAAACTGTTTTCAACTGGAACAAATCCTAGCCTCCCACTCTCCTGTTTTCATATTTTCTTCCTTTTACAGCCAGCCTACCAATCCTCTCTCTTGGCTATCTGGCACTTGTTACACACTAATGTAAGTTAGGTTACTGTCCTGGTTTCAGCTGGGATAGTGTTAATTTTCGTCTTGGTAGCCGGTATGGGGTTGGGTTTAGGATGAGAACAATGTCGATGATACACTGATGCTTTGGTTCTTGCTAAGTAGTGCTTAGTGTTGCTAAATAGGTGCTAAGTGGTGCTCACACTGGTCAAGGATGGTCAAGGACTTTTCAGCTTCCCCTGCTCTGCCGGGTGCACAAGAAGCTGGGAGGGGGCACAGCCAGGGGGGCTGACCCAAACTGGCCCAAGGGCTATTCCATACCATATGATGTCATGCTCAGTATATAAGCTGGGGGAAGAAAAAGAAAGGGGGGGGGGACATTGGGCATGATGGCGTTTGTCTTCCCAAGTAACCCTTACGCGTGATGGAGCCCTGCTTTCCTGAGGATGGCTGAACACCTGCCTGCCGATGGGAAGTAGTGAATGAATTCCTTGTTTTGATTTGTTTGCGTGCATGGTTTTTACTTTGCTTATTTAACTGTTCTAATTTATTTTACTTCAATTATTAAACTGTTCTTATCTCAACCCACGAGCTTTCTCCCTTTTACCCTTCTGATTCTCTCCCCCATCCCACTGGTGGGGAGTGAGCGAGCGGCTGCGTGGTGCTTAGTTGCTGGCTGGGGTTAAACCACGACAGTTACATTTTATATTTATATTAAAGCCTTATGTTTTCCTGTTTGATGTGGAAGAATCAGCCTCCCTGTTTTTCCTAAAATGGGCATTAAAGGACATTTGGGTCAAAGTCACTTTCTGCTTTAACCCATGCAGTTCAGATAGTCTCATTCACACCTCTGTGTTTAGACAACGTCCTCTAAAAGGAATACTAACTTTATATCAATATGCCTTTTGTGTTTGAGCAAGTCCCTGAACTTCACAAAAACTTAAACAGAGAGGAATTTCTATACCACCATCTTCTTTGCGTTAGAGTAATTAGCACCTGGGGATGGCAAAGCCATCACAAAATGACTCCTGAGCAACAGAACTTTTAAGAACAACAAGCTTTGGTGGAAACTCTCAAAGCTAACCAGCATTTTCAAACCAAGCTTCCCCCGAATGTCACATGTGTTGCATTGCATCTCTGAAGCCAACAAATGATTTCAAAAGTTTCCTACCTGACACCCGAGCTCCAGTTTTGAAACTCAGATCTGGATCTGATGTTTGGACCTGCTGTGCTGTAACTAAGAAGTCTAGTTCTACCTGACAATGAAATAAAGTGCAGAAGGTGCTTGACACCCTTGCAACAAGCAAGGTTTAAGATACAAGAGTCTGTACCAAAATGTAAGAGTCCAAATTCCTCATGCCCAGCTGGCATCTCTGTACCAGACTCTGAGTTTATATTGATATAAATTACAAGCATAACTAGAGCATTGATTGCTCTAATAGAAAATACTTTAACTCAACACCCAAACTCACTCACCCGTTTTTCTTGTAGCTGAATGACCCTTACATGCATTTGTAAAATGGGGCAGTATGTTAAATGTAAAACAAGGCTGAGACTGTTAAAGCAAATCCTGCTATACCAGAAACAAAACATAATTTTTGTTTTTTCCTTCCAGGGGACACACAGTGAAATCAAACTGTTCATCACTTACTGAAAGATGTATCTCCATCTCATCCTTGCTATTTTTGTCATCTCTTTTGAGACCTCGTCGGAAGTCTTCAACCATCTTCCATGCAAATGTGAGGAGTGCATCGTTATAGGAGTTCTTTGCGATCTGCAGGTTCTTGAAAACCAGGCTGCTGAAGTTGTTCGTGTACAACTCTCTAAGGACCTCTGTGGTAAGGAACTTTCTCAGATTCAAGCCATTTTCCAGGAAAAGACGGACAAATTTGGGCCTGTCTTTCACTAGGGCCGTGAACATGACATCCTGTAGGTCAGCAGACTAGGAAGAAATGGAAAAGCAAATATTAGGGAGCACGCGAGCCATCTAAAGCTTACCTAAGGGCCTGACACATGTGGCGAATTGCCACATTTTCTTTCATGCTGTCACAGTTTCATTAGAATCAGTTTTTTCTGTATGCAATTGCCTTTGTTTGATGGCCTAGAGTAATTCTGACATAGGCAGCTAAACTTTGCAATCAGTGATGTCGGTGCAAGGAGGAATAGACACTCTTACTTATCATCACAGAGGCTGGGGTGCTGAGATAGTGGCTGCTGTTACAATGTCTCTGTTCCCACTGCTCCCCTGTCCCATGTCACTGCACTCAGACAGAAGTGGTCTGTACCTCCCAGTTTCGGTCATTGGTGAAGATCTCATCACTGGCCAGGTCCAACTGGTTCCACTCCAGCAGCAGCTTCAGCTGCCCATTCCAGTTATCTCTGTCATGTTCATTGGTGCTGAAAGCTGCAGAGGAGGAACAATCCTCTAGGTAAAAGACCAGAGACAGAAGGGCTTCTTGGCGTACTTATTTGTCTCTGTTTTCACACTCTACCTGACAAGACCCCTATATCAAGTGTCTTTCCCCAGACTCATGTCCATCTTTCTGATTGGTTTTTATAGAGGATGCTGGAGGCTTAGAGATAGATTTATGGTCCAACATAGGCCACAAACGAGCTGCTAGGAGCACCTCATCAACCAAAATCAGCACATTTCCTTCAAACTTCTCAGTGTCCTGCATCCTCTACACAGGAGAAATTCTGCAGGATTCCCAATGGGGCCCTACAGAAGAAGTGTCATGAGAAGCTGTAATGTTCATAGGCTTTCTCCATGCACAGACAGGCAAATGAGGTCAGCCCAGCAATCTTCACTGAGTACCAATTCTGCTCTGCTGGAGTAGTAGAGAATCCAGGTCCGAATTACTCATGGTAGCAAGTCACTGGGATTTGAAAGAGTTAGGAAGCAATCCTGCACATTGACTGTTAATTAACTGGATACTTCTCTCCCTGCTGAATGTCTGTCAAACCTCTTCAATCCACATATATACCAAAAGATACTTGATTTTACATTGCAGGATGCCGAGTAATCCACTTCTGCAGTATAACCAGAAAAGATCCTTTGCTTGGCTTTCTGACTCCCTGTTGTGTTGCATACTTGGGTGCTGCTCTCAGAGATGCTATCCTAGCATCCCCAAAGCTCTGCTAAATGCCTTCCCAATTATCTGGACTCACACTAACAGATCCCATAATGCTGTTCTAGCCTGTCCACACCCCTTCAGACGAAAACAAGCTCTACACTGTGGCAGGAGCTTAACTCTAAAGAGATGGCACTGCTCTAAGGAAGACTGTTCTAGAAAATAAATAGCCATCTTTTTCCATCTATTTAAAAACAAACAAACAAACAAGCAAAGAAGAACAGAAAAACAATTACTTGCCTTTGTATAGAGCAAAAGAAATGGCATTGCTCACAATTTCATCTCCAGCTTCTTCTATTTTGATAACTGTCAGTAAATGAGGGTTCTCAAGAACTTCTTTGATCTACAAAAAGGAAAAGCTCCATTTCAAAACAATCTAGACTGTTTAGTAGTTAATCTCCTAGAGCGTCTTTAAAAGAAATTTTCCATCATGTCGTAGCAAAGCTGCTTCTCATCAGTCCTATTTCCACGTACAGTTAAAATTTTATCAAGTCCAGATAGAAGTAATGAGATTTATTTTAAAGTCACTGAAGTACAAGATTAATTATCCTCTGAACATACAGCAAATAACCATGATTCCCCTATGCAGGACATCATAACTAAAAAGATATAATCTCAGTAATTAGAAACAACTTATAAAGAAAAAACAGATTGTGACTGCGCAATTTCAACAAACGTCTAGCAGTTTATTCAAGAACAGTTTCTACCTCCTTGTGCTTTATGAAAACCAGAGATCATTTCTCACATAACCAAACCTTATAAAGTTACTTTCATTCTAGCACATGGAAAACAAATAATCTTAGCCACTGTAGGAGGAGGTACACTCCAAGGCAGCTCAGCAGAAGTCATGAGGAGTGTGGCCAGGTGACCAACCAGGGAAAACTGCCTTCAGGAACTCCATACTCCCCAATGCAGAGCTCCTTCTGGAAACCAGAGGCTCATGGTCTGCTCACAGGGCAGTTCTTCCTCTTCAGGTTTGGACGCCACAGGCCCCAGGCTCAAAATGCAAGTTCAGACGTGGTTTCTGCAGGACTCTGCAAAATGTCATGCCCTATTCTTGCCCTTTTCCTTGTAAGCTTCTTATTACAGAAGCAGAAAATTGTTGAGGTTGGAAGATACCTCTGGAGATCTCGTCCAAGCCCGCTGCTCAAAGCAGGGTCAAGTGGAGCAGGTTGCCCAGTGGAACTTGCAGGTTGTCCCACGAAATCACTCTGCCAAGCTCTGACCAAGAGATTTGACTCAGGCTTTGCCAGAAACAATAGCTGCTTACACTTCAACACCAGAAGCTTTGCTTGGTTTATATTTAAGAACACACACAAAAGTTTGAGTGTCTGAATTCCTCTCTGGGGCCTGCAAACAACTTGCAATGGTACATTCATTTAAAAAGAAAAAAAAAAAAAAGAGTTAAGGGTAGGGGGTGGAAAGCTGAGAGAAGGAGCCTTAAGTGTACATGAAGCAAGGTAACATTTTCCATCCCCCATCATGAACTTCGACTAAGGTTTGAATATGCAATCACTCCCCACTCCCTGCTTCCTGCTGTGAGAGTGGGTAGGAGATAATTAACCAAGAGAGGAAAACAGAATCAGACCCCAGGATAAAGCATTGGGCAGTTAATTGAGAAAGTCAGTTAGCTCAAGTTAATGGATTGTTCAGTGAGTTGAAGTGTTGTTGGAACTAAGACTTCTGAAAAATAACAGAACATTAAGATTTTTCTGGAGCTCCATTTTCTTCTGTTCCTATTAAGGAGAGCACAAGTATATCTAAAACCAGGACCATCTGAAGGTCAGTTTCCTGAGACTGGCCCAAGCAACCCAAGATAGCAGATGCTCTCCTTAGTTCTCCAGTTTCCCCAATCTCCAAAAATCACTCTTGTAATAAACACTTACATATGGGATCACAATGGTGACTACATCCTGAAGGCTCTACTTCCAGTCAAAGAAGCAAAGAAAAGCAAAAGAAGAATTTGCGAGTGTATGTACAGTGCTGTACCTTCAACTGCATCCCACGTACATAGTACTAGTAAGTCAATGCTTTATTTAGCAACAGTGTTCCAATGGAGATGGTGTAGGGATGTTGCCGTGATGAAATATTGACCAAGTAAGCTGCTAGTCCTAATGGCCCTGCTCCTAGTCTGTACAGGAAATCTGTCCTACCTGATGGTGAAGCAGTGATAACCCTTTGTCCCTGAGCAATCCAGCAGGATTTAGCAGTGTGAGGCCCGATTCAGAAAATATCCAATTTCTCCACATTCACAAAGCATGCAATGGAATTGTGACACCAACCAG